CCGTGGTGGCTGGTATGTGGCAATGCTCACAGGTTTCATTCTCCACCACTTCCAGGAAGTCTTGGATCTTGCACAGTGGCCAATGGAGTCTGCCCAAAATCCGTTCTCTCCTAGAGACTGGGGAGGTTTGTGGAGGAGGTTGTCTGCTGTTATAAGAGATGAGTTTCTGGAGAATTTTCAGGACATCTTGTCTCCTTCCGTAATTCTCAGCATTGGCTGTAGGGTAAAGCTTTCACTGGGTGTCTGGCAGTTGTGCACAGGACAAGATTATTGACCCAGTTCTCCATGCGGTTTGAATAAACTGTGGTATCCTGATGGTAGGAGCTGTTCTGTATCCAAGCGTATAATAAAGCTAGACACAGCGGAGCCCGTGGGCTAACTGGGATCTTGTAAGTCCAACTGCAGTGCTTATCCTTCTGGAATGAAGGTGTTCTCAGTCCTCTGTTCGGGAAAGTCTTAAGGCTTGGTTTATTTGTATGTGCCACTGTAAAAGAGGAAAAACCTGAAACTGTGTTCTGGTTGCATTCTTCTGTAAACCCTGATACTGTTTTCTTGTTTTTAACTTTCACCTTAGGATGGTGGTTCCTCAGGTCACTGCAGCCTTGAGGCAGGTAGCAGATCGTGTTAATTAGAAGGCACTGTATTAACAATTAGAAAACAATTCTCTTTTCCAGTCTATTTGTAACCTGTGAGATATATTAGATTTATAATGTACAGTATAGAAATTAGATGCAAAATATCTAGTTAAATACATACATTTGAAGTAAAGTTTGAACGCTGCTGTGCTTCAGAGAGATGTGTGGTAAAGTCTATTTGTCCTCCCTGGTTCCCTCCACACTTAATCTGTTTGCAAGAACCGATAATCACAGATTATTGAGGACAAACTTTGTCAGTGTGCTTTGAGCTGGGTCATCACGCTTGCTTCCCCAATCATTTTCATTTGAGGTTGTTGTAGTCGGTCCATTATTCATCGACTGTTATCATACATTTCAAACATTTTCCTCACGTTTCAAGAGCGAATCGCAGATGTCGGCGCGCTCAGTGAGATGAATTTATTTGAGCTCATGTGGTACCCAAATATCAAGCTTCCAAATGTATCCAAATATCCTGCTTAGCTTGAGAAGCCTGGTTGACTTCATAGACGAGGTCACTCAATGCCCACCAACCTGTGAGCTCTGGTACTTTTGCATTCTTGGTAGCTCTTCAACTTCTACGCAGAAGTGCATATTATTCCTGTCTGTAGTGACAGAAAGCAGCTAACTGTAACAGAAAGTAACTGTGCAGAAATTAAATGTTGTTTTTGTTTCTATTTGATTTTCTTCAAAGGGGTTGGATCATGAACTATGTCGCTAAAATAAATGAACCTCAAAATAGTGTTAATCTTAACAGCTTAACATATTCTAAGAATCATGTTATGACATTCCTTTTAGAATTGGGTGTTGTCCTGAGCTGCTAATAATAAAATGTTTTAGCAATGAATAAAAATGGATTCTATTTTAACCAGCGCGAATATTCCAGGGTGCATAAGCTCCTCTGAAAACTCACGGGATCAAGTTCTGCCCTTGAAGTCAAGTGAAAGGTTTGCATACAGGTCAGCAGGTGGCCTTTGGTCCATAGCGTTTTGCTTGGCTTTCATTTTATTTCTGATACTCCAGATTGGAGGGAAAATACTGGGGCAGAAAAACCTGGTTTAAAGCTGTGCTGGGTTCCAGAGAATATTTGAAAGTACAGAAACATTTTGCTTGGTCTGCTGCACCAGTAACCACTCAGTTTTGTGCATAGGCAGGAAAAAGTGGTCAGGGTTTTAAAGAAATGGAGCGGTGCAAGTGATCATCACGCCTTAAAAACAGGCAGTACATTGAGTTTAGACTTCAGGGTGCAGAACCAGGAGTATCTTACGTCAGAGAGTATGAAACAGGGCTGGTGTAAGCACAAGTCTGGGCTTTCTCCCCTTACCTTTGTGTTACACATCTGCGCTTCTTTGAGGCGTAAACACACCAAGGCTGCAGATGAAAGTCATTCAAGTTATTCAGTTACACAACTGCGTAGAAATTTCTGCATATGTTTTTAGTTGGTTTCCAAAAGTGTGGTGCCTTTTGGAGAAGTGTTTCAGCTTTGCTGCTATTCTGTAGCTGCTACCCTTATGTTTCAGTCTCTGTGCTGTCACCCGGGATGTGGTGGTTCAACGTTTCAGGTCACCTCAGCCCGGGGCCGATGTGGTTCACCCATTGGGAAGGTGGCCTGGGCCAGCTTCTTTGAGCTCTTGCTAGCAAGTGAGATCAAGCAGCTCATGGCATAGTTCAGCTTTAACTGTTACTTTTATTCTTTGGTCCATTAGTTTACTGACGTTCTTGCATATGTATACATTACATCTGTAAGACTTGGCAGTTACAGGGTGTCACCATCACAGTCTGACTTTAGCTCCTGTGACTGCTTACATGAAAGAGAAACACACCTTTTTATGTACATTCCTTTCCTCTTTCAGCCTGCAGGAATGTACATTCAGTACATGTTATCCTTTTCAGTGTGTGATGTTGCAGTGAGCTTAATATTTATTTCTTAATGGAGTCTGTGTGGTACTACTGCTACAATTCTGAATGTTTTATGGCATCTACCATCATCTCATTGTCATCATGGAGTGACAGAGGTTACCACACGCTTATCTTGTGGTTGGCAGGCTAAGGCACAGAAATAAAAGAAAATTTTGTCCAAGGTAACAGGAAACTTTGTGCACCTGGACTGAAAAACATAGAAACTGGTGGTGTTTACAGTATTTGTATTCAGAGCTTTTGTCCTCTTGGATCTGTAAGTATTTATGACTCCTTAAATTTGACTCCTGGTTTTCAGGATTCAGAAGTGAATACGGTGTCTCCCTTGTGAAAAACTTGATTTGTAGGATATGCTTTACAAGAGATCTCTGTTTCTGGTGGGGGAATGCAGTCTGTTTCTCTATGGTGATTTTTAAACTTGCCCGACCGTGAAACTATTTTGCATGTTTGCATATTTTGCATTCTAACTTTTCTCCAGATACCTTCCACGTTATACTGAAAAATTATTTTTTCCTTCTATGAACAGTTCTAATTAAATTTAACATTTGTATTATAGCTTGCCTGTTTTATCAAATGGGACCAGAGTTGTCTTGGAGTCTGCAGAAGGGATCTCAATTAAGGTTCAATGGGCAAACTTCATCCTAATATTTTTTTATCTTCTGAATGCAGATGCTGCAGTTACGTGGTAACTGTAAGTGTAGAGGGTTTTCTTTTAACATTGGGAAGAAATCCCCTCACCAGACCCCACCAGTAATCACTTAAAGCTGTATTAATGCTAATTTAAAGAGGGGCAAAATCCATTTTGCCAGTATACCACGTCAAAGGAACATTGTGCTTTAGAGTTGGCTCTAATTTCCCAGAGAAAAATGCTTTTATGGAATAGATGCTATTATTTATTTAATGCTACACCTTGACTTTTGGGCCCCAAATGACGTAATGCTCTGTGCTGATATGGAGCATTGACGTCCCCCTGCCGTGGTTGTTCCCGGCACAGTCAGCCTGTCAGAGCTGGAGGGGGCAGCCAGGCTCCCATGCGGGTGGACTCTTCATCCTGTTTAGGTTAGAAGCTGAGAAGATGTACGTATATGTTCTGTTTGATGGCATCACTTGATTTATCCAGTTGACAACGGTACATGTCCGAATTAATGGTTTGTTCCTTGGAAGCAATGCAAAATACAAATTATCTGTCACCCCCCAGTGAATTTCAAATCCATGCTCCATAGCATCAGAATGCTGGAGGCTCTGAGAAAGCAGCAGTAAATACGTTGTTTGCTGGACAGACAGTTTTTCCAAGTCTAATTCACAGAAATTATGTATGTAAAAAAAATCATTATGATTAGTCCTATGTTTTATAAAACTTCATCCTTAATAGCTTTATTTTGTATAAGTCAAAAACATCTGAAAATGTATAAAGTGTTGGATTAAAGGTGTTGGAGTTTCTACCACTTCTACATATAATAAATAATGTGTATGTAGAGAATTTTCATATAAATGCCTACAGACGTAATTGGTAATTTGTAGCATTCCCTTATCTCCCTCAATTAAAAACCTTGTAATTATAGTATCTAGTTTTGCTGTGGTAATGACATGGGTATTTTCTCGTTCTCATCTGTTTGCTGATCCAGGACTGAATGAAATAAGTGCTGCAGGAGCAGATTTTAATGGGTTTAGATATAGTGGAGAAATGTAAATTTGAACGAGTGGTTCTGCCGTGTGGATTTGGAACTGTATTGTGGAGTGATAGAAAAATATTCTGGTCCAAACTCCTCCTCGGAGGAAATGTGATCCAGATCAGTTGTGTTGCTCAAGACGTTGTCCAGCGGGACTTTGGCATTCCAGGGATGGACACCCCTCAGCCTCTCGGGGCAGTCTGCTCCAGTGGATGGTGTACGTTGTGTTTTGGCTTGGTCAGGAGTTGCCTGCTCAGACAAGGTACCTTGGTGCTGTGCCTGGCTGTATTTTGCTTGTAGGATGAGCCGTACGTGTGTGTTAATGAGCTTGTTAATGAGCTTGTCTTTGATTGACCACTGGTCCTGTGTTCTCTTGGCCTTCAGCATCCCATGTGAGCCTGCCCCGTTCCCCAGAGAAGCCGCACTTTGCTTTCCTGCTGTGCAGTGTCATTTCTGTTTGCCTTCCTGCCTTCCCTTACTTTTCCTGTTCCACACTTACTACTGACATCTGTGAGTTGCCACAACAGGCTCAGACACTGTTTGCAGGTAAAGAGTAGGTTTGGTAGTGTTTTAGGTGGGGGACATTATGTCCATGGTTGCTTATCTAGAAGTAATGCGTGTTTTTGACATGCAATGTCCGGTTCTCTAACTTCTCAATAACCCACAGCCTTAGTCAGGGTTTTGAAACCTTTATTCCAAAGTGGCAAGGTTTTCACGCAATGTATTTTACCTGATATTACAATATTAACTCTTTTCAATCTTTGCAATTCCTCTTTTGCAGATCACCTATTTCAGTCTGTGGTATTATAATAAGCAGAATCAGCGCAGATGGGTGGATTTGGACAAGCCTCTGAAAAAGCAGCTGGACAAATACGCCTTGGAGCCAACTGTGTATTTTGGAGTGGTGTTCTATGTGCCTACTGTTTCTCAGCTCCAGCAGGAGATTACCAGGTAATCATACCTGTGTCTGTAACTTTGCTTTCAGCATTCAGAAATGCGTGGTTTCTTTAAAAGTTGCTGTCCCTTCCCCCGCCTCTGTAGAAATGGAAATGATTACTCCAGGCAGAACTTATCTTCACACTGCATATTTGTATCCCTTTCAGATATTTACAATATGTGATAAACTAAGCAAACAACCACCTCTTTGGTGATCTTAGGAGTCTGTTCAAACATGTTTTCAATAACAGGCATAGCTGCATGGTCAGACTTCTAATTGTTTTAGTTCCTTCATGTTTGTTTCTGTTTGTGTTTTTGTTTTGAAGAACTATAGTCGCTTGCATTCATTTTCTAATGAGGAAAGAGGTACAAATACACAATTTATGAGGGTATTTTAGTAGACAGAAATTGTGGAGATTCTTTGTTTTGAGAGGTAGCAGTATTTGATTCTGCAGGGATATATGAAAGCTAAGGGAGGAGTTAGCAAAGACCATGACATAGCAGGTCTAAATGATGAGGACTGTCCACCACACAAACTGGGGAATGCAGAGAGGAATAGGAAATGCAGGTGTATTCAACTGCACTCTCTTTAAATTAAGAAGCCTACATTATAATTTTATTTTATTTTATTTTTTCCCCATGCAGGTATCAGTATTATTTGCAATTAAAGAAAGATATCTTGGAGGGCAACATTCCTTGCACACTGGAACAGGCCATACATCTGGCTGGTTTAGCTGTTCAGGGTGAGTAAGGCCATTGTGCCCATTAGCCCATGCTGCATTAGAAACTTCGGTGATGTGTTTTCGATCGCATGTTTTCTGTTTATTGCTTGAAGACC